GAGTGTTTATGGTAGAAGGTGAAAAAAAAAATTTCAGTGACCGTCTGTTCATTGAAAAAGCGACTGTTTTGGTCACTTTCTTTTGCTAGCCACTCAGCTCAGCTCGCTTCCCGGCAAGGCCTGCTTGGCTCGCGCTCGGGCTCGTGATTTTATGAGCCTGAGCCGCCACGAGCCCTATTTTGACGCATCGAGCCGACGAGAGGCTCGACCCTTTTGACATCCCTAAGTAAGATGGTAGTGCCACAGGTGGTGTTGGATATGGTGGTAATGGTGAGGAGATAGTGATACGATTGTAGTGGTGCAACTTCTTGTTGATGGGTTGCAAAATGGTGCGGTGGTGGTGCGTTTTTGTTTGAGTGGATCGACATTTGTGACCTATTAAATTGTTAATATGTAAATGGAGGTAGTTGTTTGTGGTTGGAGATCTGATAGTGGTGGTCGCGACTTTTGTTGGTGGTCGTGTTGTAGTGATAGTGCTGTTATGGTAGTGGCAATGTTGGCGGGGTGAGGGTTGTCGTAAGTGGTCGTATTGGTAGTGGCGATGGTATGTGACCCACTATTTAGTGTATGTGACCAAGTATTCAATTGTGACATAAAAATTTGATAATATGTGACTAAAAAATGATTTGTACAACTAATTTGAAAATTTGTGATTGACAAATAAATTATAACTTATAATTTTTTGATTTGTGATCGATGAAATAATCTGTAAACAATTAATTTGATAATATCTGACATTGTGACCTATAAGTACGCATCTGTGACCATGAAATTAATTAATGAACACCTTTTTTTCTTTTTTTTTTTAATTTTGAAACAGAAAACCTAAAAATTGAATTGTCCATACTTACTACATGACTTGTGAATTTTTCTCTTAATTAAGTGCTTCCAAAGGCCCCAATTTATTTTTGGATTGAGCTATCCTAAGGTGTAGATATAAATGATCCAAAATCATTTTAACATCATTGTCTAAATTTATTGAGTATCAAAAAATCAATTAAATCTCCATCTTGATACCCAATTAACCTACAAGCATACAAAACATAAAGTTACACTTGCATAATTAAGATAACCAATAAAATTGAAATCATAGACATTACCTCATGTCTTGAACCCGAAGCACATACTATAACTGTTCTATATACTCACCAGGGCTAAGGTCGAGAAACTTCCAAGTAGAAGCACGTAATCACAGTAATCAATCAAGAGCAAATAACATGAGATGAAGATATAATGTAGGTTAACACTCAGATCTTTTCAAACATGTTCAAAATGGACGTCAAACTAACATCAAGTTAATCAATCAAATGGCCAAGCACACATACAACAAATACATAAATGACCCCACAAAAAAGATACCATACTTATCCTATCACATTCCATGATACTCGCACATCGAGAACACATATTTCTTCTCATCATCCGCCATGCTCACTAGACTGATCACTAACACATGTTTAACTAGCAGACCACAATAAATCTTAAATTTACGGGATAATCCTCCATCACTACCTCACTTCTCTTAAGTGGATAGTGGTCTCTACATAACAGAAATGTCACTCTTACACTCCACCTGATCAGGGTTTTAACAAATAAAGAATTCCAACATTTAATCATCTCGCCATTCGTAATCCAAATGTTATTCTCTACATTCCCCGTGCATATCACCAATGCACCCTCAAACATCTACATTTCACATTACCAAAAGACATACTGCACTCTTATTACTAATGCATCTCAAATCCACTATAGCAAAATCGACACCTTTGGTGACCACAAAAGGTTATGGCTCAGTTTTAATTTACCCACACACCACAAGGTTACTCCAACACTAATACTAAAAAAGAGTCCACAAAAGATTTATCCCACAAATGGAAGGGTGAATGTGGCACTCATAAAGAGAATATAAGAATCAGTAAGTTACTTCATTATACTCACAAAAGACTCAATAAACCTTCTCCTCTCTTCTCTTTCCTTCTATTATCCTTATTAGGATAGTCTTTCTTAACATGTCCAAATTATCGTAATTAAAACACCCTCGCTTTTTGCATGTGCTTTAGACCAACATTTGCAATTGAAAGTTAAGAACTTTTTGTTTTGCTAAATTGAAAGAAACGCATTTTTTCCATTAGAAAAACATAACTCAAAATGTGTTGTCATTTTATCAAAAATGCACAAAACATAGAATGCAACAAATGATGACCACAAGTAAAGTATAGAGATAATTCACACAAAATAGTCAAACAAACTTCTTAAGATCACATGCAATTATAATAGTAAAAAAATAAATTGGCAATAAATTCAAAAAGAATTTAAGGTAAATAATTAACAAATAATTTCTAGGTCTAGCAACAAGCAATGTTTATCCTACATGGCAACCTCAAACATAATTTTACCCCATACAATGACTTTAATGTGAAAAGTAAATGACTATCCCACACGATAGCTTTAACTATAATAATAAAAGGAAAAGAATACGATACCTAGCAGACCATATCCGCTGGTCTGTAAATAAGGAGTATGCGAATTCAGCGTTTTAGGGCTATCATTATTCGCCTTGAAGTTTTCAACAACTGCGGCAACATAAAATGATACTCGATATTCGAACGTCTAAGAGCAAAATCATCCAGAATTCACCATATTTCTCAAAACTGAAATGAACATCACCATAGGGTTTTTCACACCTCTCGGAGTAAATTGCCTATTCGGACTATCACCCAAGTCCACCGTACACATCTCCACGCATCGATGGGAGCGACTTCGCATGGTCTCATTCGTTGGCCATTTTGAACCGTCTCCACCCACACAGCCTACTGGTAGTCCTGATTTCTCCAACATGTAAGTGGTTTAGCCAAAAATCAATAAAACTGGTCTAGTCGATTTTGAAGAAAATCTGGACAGCTTTAGTCTAGTTTTCTACCTGTCTTTCAACTTGATTTCAGGCCAATTTTGCTTGATTTTTGCCCTTAAAAATCAAATATTTCTATGAAAACTCTGATACCATTTGTTGCGAAAGCTCTTTAAAATCTCGAATTCAGGCTGAGAAAAATTACCAAACAAACACCAATCGAGGAGGTTCCGACCCACAACTATTTACACACGGTTGCCTCAAATTTACTCACCCACGAAGGGTATACTTGGTGGTGGTGATTTGTAATCTACAAAGGCAATAAAAAGTGTGGAAGAATATATATAAAAGGGAGAATAAAAGAGGCCATCACCAATTTTCGCGTCAAACACAAAGCACACACTTTTCTCTAATTTGCATAATCACACACCCGCTCAAAACGGGTGTAAAGAGGTGGATATTTATAGTTAGGTCACTCCAGTTGGGCCAAAATTCACTAAATGGGCTGCCATTTTAGGACCACAGCTAACTAAGAATAAATTGGCCAATACATAACACAATCCAACTAATAACCACAACTTGGGTCATTCAGTTGGACCATGAGCAACAGTAACTTAATTAAATTGCTTGTAGTGGCTCCAAGTTGTTTTCGAATCGAGTCATCCTAAGATGTCGATTTAAATTATCCAATATCATTTTAATATCATTGTCCAAATTTATTGAGTATAAAAAAAGCAACAAATTTTTTAAGTAATGTTCAATAAACAATTAAAATTCAATAAACCATAACTTCATGTACCCGAATTAATTTTGTTAAATGACTTTGGTCTTTTGATGGCTGGCTTGCAGAATATTACTTGCACATGACATTGATTTATTCTCTAAAAAGGGACTGGGAATCATACAAAATAAGAGCTGAAAGAATCAACTTCTCTAAAGCATGGAAGCATCTATTCTAACAAATTACTAACAAATAATTACTCAACTTGTTCATATATGATGTTACAGGAGTTTCTGATACCTAATAACAATTGTTCATCTATTCTAAAATGATTTGAACCACTTATTAAAAATGGGCATTTTCCTCAAAATTGTCATTAAATATTAGTGATAAGTGTGATTTCTAAAATTATCCAGACTTTCAAAATTGGATATTTGAGAGTCAAATTGATAGAATTCTATTTAATTTTGTTAATTATTGATTGTTGTAGGATACATCGAGTTTGGATGGATTTTGATGGAAAAACTGCCAAAGAATACGAAAAAAATGAAGAATTATAAAGTTTGAGGATTAAATTACAAATATTTAAAAGTTGATTCTGACTAAGAAATGATGATTAAAGATTACACGATCAAATTAAATGAAACTAGAAGATGAAGGACTAAAATTGTACATAAAAAGGACTTGAGCCGAATCACGAAAAAAGGACCAACTTGAAATTGACCGAAAAATTAAAGGCGTGTAATCGTTGCTATCAAAATGCCACAAAGTAAGACGACATAACACAATCGCACCAAGTAATGCGGTACGACTGCACTATATTATTACAAATTAGAATTGTACTTTCTTTATGTGACTCAAATTTATTTGGTAATTTATTGACACACAATTTTTTAGCCTAATTTTGGTAACCAATTGACTCAAATAAATGCAATTAATTGGCATTGAATATTATTCAACATCGTTGAAACTTGGGGCACTAATTATAAAGTTGGTCACATTCTTGCTTTTCTGCTGCATTACAATTTTGAACATAATTATTAAATGTTATTTTAGTCATACTTAGTTCACATTAGCATTATTAGCATTATTCAAAGATGGATAAAGCTACTTTGCCAGAAGAATTTAATAGAAAGCTTGACATAATTTCATGTGCAAATAGATAATTGAATTGAAAAACTGACTGCATTTTAAATTGACCAACACTTGACATTATGTCAATCTTGATGTTCATGTATTTTAAGATTAACGGTCAAGGCATTGTAAAACATCCTTTGCAAATCCTCCCATTGCTGCATACTCGTCCAATGCTCGTTCCATCGGATAATATCGTAAAAATTCCGGAAAAAATAGCCAAAACGACGTAACCAACACAAATCCAATGGTTAACGGGCCCGTTATTATCCGGGGCAAACACCATTTGCCATTAATCGCCTTCTTAATTGCAACCTCGATCATTAAACTCACACCATGCAGCAAGAAAAACCATGTGATTCCCCCATCGGGCCTTTCACGGCCCATGTAAAAGAAAATTAACTCGTGCATTATCCCCGAAATCATAAATGTGCCCAAAATTGCAGGTAGAGGAGCCCATTTCCTGCCTATCATTTGCCTCATGGCATTTAAGATTGGGTCATATATTGTAGGTCGTAAAATACGTGTCACCATTATATTCCACCTTCGACCCCAAAATTCTTGTAATGACGTTGATAGATAAGGCTCATCAAATTGTGGCTCAAGCTCAATCCCAATAAGGGCTCGAGCCCCCGAAAACAGCCAATATAATTTCCAACCCAAAATATATATGAAAACTGTACACAACCCATATAACCTTTGGATGAATATAATCACTGTAATCATACACTTTAAGAAACAAAGCAATTAACAAACCTTTAAAAGCATAATTCCATATAGATTTAAGCCCTTTCCGCGACGTTTTCGAATTAGGGGTTTCTTTATCTTTTTCTTGAAATTTGATGGGAAGACAAGAAAGTGCAAGAAACCTTGAGAGTGAAAGAGAAGGATCTGATAAAGGGCCTTTGCCAAAAGCAAGCATAATGAGTTTAAAATTGCAAAGCCAACATAAGAAAAAGGCTGATGAAACTCCAAGATGCAGAGTATGTAGTGAGAGAGGGAGGATTAGGTTTAGAGTAAGAACAGGGAGAATTGTGAAGAATCTTAAGACACCTTTTGGGACAATTTTGGATACAAAATAACAGTAGAAAAGTGATGCAAAAACTGAAAGCCATACCTTAATGAAGTTCGTGAATTCTCCTTGCATCCAGTATTTGATTACATGGATGATTTGTAGCTCCATTTTTTATCTTCTCTCTCTATATTCTGTATGTATATGTTTATCTATATATTCATCCCTTTTGTTTTCATTTTAGTGAGAGATGATTTCTCCCAGTCTCCAAAATTGGCCCTTTTTATTCAAAGAAGGCTGCTTTTCTTTTATCCTTACTGGATGGTTGGCTATTTTAAGAGTCAATTGTTCCAATGGTAACACAACTTAAGTCCAAATTTTCGATTGTTCACTAAAACTTAAAATGTCAAATTTTGGCTACAGAATTTTGAAAAATATTGTAGGTTCCTCACTAGCATAACTTCCATCTCAAATCTCTAATGAAATTGGTGACGTCACCCTTAAACTTTGAGATGATGGAATGTTGTCCATTAATCTTCGAAATATTTTATATTGTTCATTGAACTTTTCGGTGGTCGAATTTTGACCACTGAACTTTGAAAAAAGACGAACTTTGGCTACTAAATTTTGAAAACGTCTTCTATTGCTCACTATAAATTTGGTTTGAACTACACATCTTTACAATCAAATATTTTACCCATAAACTCAAATTTTTTACCCAACTTTTTAGCCATAAATTCTTCAAAAAATCACTATTTTTAGAATTCTTTTTTTTTAAATAAATAAATAATGGCAATCAATCATGATTGTTGTTAAAAAAATTTGGATTGAATTTAATTTTTACGATAAATATATTGTGTGTTTCATTACAATTAGTAGTCATTTCCTTTGCACAACTTTATAGGCATTGTCTATACCAATAGGAATGATTACTCAATTATACAGTAGTTAAATTTAAATTTAATTAATTTTTTTGAAGCTATTTTCGTCATAATAATTGAATTTTACAACGAAACGGACAATGAATTTGTTTGTTGTTAAATAAAATTAAATCCAACTTTTAACAACAAATTTTAATTAAATTCAAATTTATTGTGAGCTATAGAAAATGTTTTACAAAGTTTCTTGGCAAAAACTTGACCATACTCACTGAGCTTTGAAGTGCTCGAATTTTGGTTACTGCACTTTGAGATAGTTGAATTTTGGCTACTAAAATTTGAGATGATCGAGTTTTTAAATAGTGATATTTTAGAGAATGTGTAGTTAAATCCAAATTCATAGTGAGCCATAGAAGACGTTTTTCAAAGTTCAGTGGCCAAAATTCGATCACCTTAAAGTTTAATGGCCAAAATTCGACCGTCTCAAACTTTAATGACGTGACGGGATGTTACGTGTGCATTCCGTTAGCCACGTCCCACCAATTCTGTTAGAGATTTGAGATGGAAATTATATTAGTGGGTAACGTACAACATTTTCTAAAGTTCAATATCCAAAACTCAAAATTTTAAAGTTTAGTGAGCAATCAAAGATATGAACTTAAATTTAGTGATCAAAACTTGCTATTTTAAATTTTAGTGAACAATCGAAGACATGGACTTAAGTTCAGTGACCATTGGAATGATTAACTCCTATTTCAACGTGGTTGGTGAAGATGCATACTGGCATCTAGTGGAACCTTTTTCTTATTTTTTTTTTCGTGGATTACGATGGCCAACTTTTTATATCTAGGTAAAATTGAAGTAATATGTTTTGAACCACAATTCCGCCGGCACTTAGTGCCCACTTGATGTAGATTTTTAGCAAATAAGATTGATAGAAGTTAGTGAATTTTAAATACGCCTTTAGTGTCGACTTGAGATTCTATTTTAAAATGTATATGAAAATGTTAAAGTACAACAAAAGAAAAAGAGAATGTACAAAGATTTGAGCTGGTCTTGATGATGCTCATGTTCTTATATGTTGAGTATTATTTTTATCTTGAATCAATGTAAAATTATTATTCTTAACATGATTGTAATTCACTTTTAATGGGAAACATTTAAGTTTTATATAAATAGAATCAAAATGAGACAATAATAGCAGTAACTTATATTGCGAATCATCTAATATTTAATAAAATTTCTCAACCTCGACCTATTAATTTATAGATATTATACTTTACTTTTATTTTAATTTTTTATAATATTCTATTTCAACAAAAAAAAATAAAAATGCACGGACTTTGTCGTCCTCTATACCCCTCTCCCTTTTTTTATTTTTTTATTTTTTATTTTTTATCCAAAGCTGTCTATCTTAAGTTTTATAATATAAAATACTGTCATTTTTAACGTATCAAATCTTAGAATTGACACAAATTAAAAAGTAAGAATATCTGATTTTAGTTAATACAGGTGTATCCAATCCGTCGAAGCACCAAGGACCCTGCAATGAATTTAGCCTGGTCTTCCTCATTACAAAAATGTACTCTAATAGCCAAGATGGGTTGTCCTTTTATTTTGTTTTAATTATTTTTCCTTTCCTTTCCCTTTTTTATTGATTTTAACTAAAAACAAGACATAATGATATTTTCAACAAAATAATTAATTATTCAAAAAAAAAAAAATCGTCATTGGAGACTTGTGTCACAGTAAAACATATAAATTTGAAATTATGCTCTAAAAAAAGGTTGAAAACAACATTTTAATCGCTTCAATAAGTTGGGATGAGTGAGTGCTGCAATTTTCTCTAACAAAAAGTTCTTGACCTTAAGAATGGGTTTTAAAAGAATTCATCAAATATGTAAATTGGCTCCAAATTTGAAATCTTTGTACAAAGAAATATTAAAGGTGGAACATATATAAAGAGAGGAACTTAATTATCCTATGTCGGGTTAGTTTAGACCATCTATGACTTAGTATATGTTTGGTTCAATTAAAAAATTGAATAAAATTTAAGTCAAAGTCAATAATTAATTTTAACTATACATTTAATGGTGTCCACAATTTTTCAACCATATTTTTTTTTATTATCAATTTTTATCAAAATTTACTAAAAATATAATTTTTATTTAAACCAGGGATTTAACTTGTGCCTAAATAAATTATCATTTTAAAACTTATCACAAGCATAAATTTTAAGCTTGAAACATGCACATCAAGTGATTTTAAATGAGGTTGGACCCTAAGGTGTACTAAAGTTTTGCGCAAGAGATGTTTTCGTCACAATCATGTTTACCAACCAATCGATGTACTTGCTCGAGTTGATTAAGTTTTAATAAAGAAATATTTTATTTTAATAATTTTTACATTATGGTTAGCTTGACCAAAAAAATATACTTAAATCTTGGCCAGCACTTGTACAGTCCCGAGTTTAGGTTGAATAAAAATAATAATTTTTATAAGACGCTTATTTAAAATTTAATTATTTGGCCACAAGTAATTTGATCAATGAAAGAATTCGACAAATTAGGGCGTTCGAGATTGCTTTTACACAATTTTTGGAAAATACTAGCCTTTTCTACTCTATTTATGCTTGTTTTTCTTCTCAAATTAAGTTGGTCACATGGAAGCAAAGTTTTGTTATATTCTTCCATTAAAAAAAATTGTCATCGATCCAAGATAATTGCTCGAAGTTTTTTAAGTCCTAGAGTGAGCAACTTTAAAGAGATGATGTGAGTCATTTTTCTTTTTTTTATTAATTTACTAAACTATTTCTACTTATATGTTAAACTCTGAATGACTTGTTCACGTTCACTTAGGGGTAGACAAAATGTTCAGACCAAATCAAAATCAAATAGAATCGAGTGGTTCGGCTCAGTTCTACGAAAAAATAAAAGATTTTAGTTCTTCGAATGGAGAATAATTTGATTCTAGTTTGGTTCTATTCTAGAACCAAGAATCAAAATCAAAACCAAACTCGATTTTTACTTTTTTTTTTTTAAATATATATTAGTTTGTAGAGATCCTAATTTTGTATTAATAGGAGAAAGCCCATTAATTGATTCTAGATCATTGTAAAACAACCATTAATTTTGTACATCCTAATTTTGTATTTATTTGAATCATTTATCTTTCACTCCTTTTTAATTTACACAATGCCAAGCACTACTTTTCATCGCATCAGTTGAGGATACTCTTTCATGATCGAAAAATGAAATTGATTAGTCACTTAAAAAGCCTTTAAACTATTTTTTCCACTTTGATTGTTTGATGAATTGATTGTGTTCTTCACAAATAGAGGAAAATCCAATAAAATATTCATAGAATATTAAACTCTTCATGGTTACTTGTAGAAGTCAATTGTAAAAGTTTTGCATAATTCATTCTTCATTGTGGAGTGTGCATTCAAAACTACAGCAATTAATTTAGTGACTTATTATTATTATTATTATTATTAGACAATCTTTTGTATGAGAATCAAAATTGATTCAGTATTCAAATTATGATTATATTTTGCTTATTAGTTTGGATTTTCATGCTCTTGGTGATTGATAATTTCAACTTGTTGAATGATTTCTTTTCTTATTTAGGTATATATTATTAACTTATAGATATGTACAAGTCTGAAAATTTATGAAATGAAACTAGAACCAAGTCAAACTAGAATCGAATGGCTCGGTTTTGATTTAGCCTATATCTTAAAAAAAAAAAATTTTTGATTCCTCTATTTAAAAATCATTGGTTCATGATTGATTTGGTTCACCTCAAACCAGAACTAATTGAAATCATGTCCATCCCAAGCTCACCCTTTGGTTGTGCTTATTGGTGGATGGTGTACTGCCATACTTTCTGTCACCAGTGGTCTTAAAGTGTACAAGACAAATTTAAGTGTTGTGAGATAAAATATAGACATATAAGTTATTAAAAAAAAAAAAAAAAAAAAAAAGAAGAAAAAAAAAAAAAAAAAAAAAAAAAAAAAAAAAATTAAAAAAAAAAAAAAAAAGAAAAAAAAAGAAGGAAAAAAAAAAAAGAAAGAAAAAAAAGAAGAAGAAGAAAGTAAGTTTTAAAATAAATAATTGTTTCATCCTATTGAAAGTTAAAAATAAATTATTTATTTTGAGCTAAAGAAGAGTTTTTCAGAAAAAAAAGCAACTTTTTACTTAATAGAAAATAATAAATGTGTTCATCAAATTTTATTTAAAATAATACTTATTTTTAATGCTTAGAAAACATGCCCATAAACTTATCAATTCTAAAGAAAACATTAAACTGTTTTCTTGTTTGAACTCGGACAATTGATTAAAGAACTTACCAATATAACAGGTTTTTGCAATTGCTAATTTATCAATTTCAATGGGAGTTTTCCTCAATTACTTATTTTTTA